GTTGATGTGTCGATAGGGCACACGTGATGCCGCACCCTTCTTAAAAGAAGGGTTTGTTGTTTCAAATCATAGAGTGGGTTGCGACCAAATTGCTAACTATTTGTAAATCCATTAATTAGTTTCGTGACCTGAAGATGTTAATTGACTAGAAATTAGTGCTCGATCACCGTTCGTGTCCGTAGTGCCATGATTCTGTACATTTTGCACAGATGGATCAAAATTCTATTACCCATGATTCATTCGAATTCTACAAACTGTAATCTTGATCTACTTTATACAAATACTACTACTCCAACCACCATCAGCTTCCCATCAAACTAATACACTGTCGTAATAAGATTCCCAATGGATTGATTGATCAAAGAGATCTTTCACTGCTCCCCCTTTGCTGAATAATTCCATTGATAGATTGTTAGTAATCAGAAGCGAAGATAAAGCTTTATGATTCATCTGTACGAAACCAAATATAACCAAATGTATTGCCATTGCGAACAGTGTTTTAAAAATAATACAGTAGCAACTCTAATTTAACATGTATATAATGATCTTCGTTAATAATTTTTATTCCTCAAAGTATAGTTAAATATACGTTTCAGTAAAATTGACAATTTTATATGCAACAACTTAATATTTTTGACACATTACGTTTCAATCAGCTGAGGTGATAGTGCCTTACAAAAGTTCCGAGTCAGGTGTTATACAATATTCAGTCACATCAGAGTCGATTTAACTGGAATAACATTGCCATCACCATTTGTCAAGATTTGATCATTTTTCCGATGAATATTTCCATCGCTATCGACCGATGGGAAAAAAGGGACACAGATAATAGATACGATTACCAAGAAATCTCCCCTTTTTATCTTTGTTATGCGCGGTTATCACCTACTTTCAGCTGGTTATCGATCTCATTTGATTTTTTAAATGCTATTTTAAAGTTCACCTGCGATTTACGAAACAGATAGAGGACAATTAATATTCATGAAAGCTGCCCTACAATTTTACCTATCATATCTGTTACTATAATTAGCATTCCATATATTTTGATAAATCACTAAACCATGATCCACTCTTCGATATAATATTTTCATCGTTCTGGCACACATTTAATCAACAACAAATATCGTGTCTGGAAACGAACGATGCCGGTGAATTTCATTTTAATCACGTGCGCAGGCAACCGTCCAAATCACGTTTTTGTAATTGGCACTTGGTCCGAACCTTTTGGATGCCAGTACGAGCATGCATCTGCAGATCAGTGTGAAAACAGGTTGCATGAAAACGCATCTGTTCCGCACACGTGAGTCTGTTATATCCAGGCAACGTATAATTAAATATTGAAACACCTGTTTGTATAAAGACGGCTTCAAATTAACGTTAGAAGCACATAATAGCGTTCCATACATGAGTGAGCCTTCTCGCGAACTAAACCGATCAACGCCATGAAATGAAAGGTATCGTAAACTAGCAATATTGCAAACATTTGCATTTAGAATTGAGCTTGAAGTACGGTAAATACATAAATTATATGCTCATTCGGTTCTGTTATGACAAATACAGGATGTCTCAGGTGAGATCATGATTCTACGAGAAAGAATATTTTAACTATTCGTCATGGTCGAAGTAGAAACGGAATGCAATGACAGACGTGCTAACCAAGTCCAATGGTACGCGTATCCAGCCGAATTTTAAATTCGATTATCTTGAAAATTAAACGTCAAACGAAAAAAAATTCATTCTTCTTTTTTGACTTATTTTTGCTTACAGAATCATCTCCTGCCCGATTGTGCTAACCGACCTGACATACCCTATACATATACTGGAAGTAAAAGAAATAATGTACAACGACAAGGAACAGATTCTTTCTAAGATTACATTTCTGTGACGTAATATTCACAATACTATGTAACCTGATTTTTATAATCTGAGAATCTATTATATTATTTCCGAAAATTTGTCCTGTTGTACAAATATTTCTTTTTCCTACTATATTCGACCGAACAAATACAGAAAATTATTTCGAACGTAGATTTTCTTTTTATTAAATTTAAAATATATAAAACTGAATTTATAAAAATACTAGAATTAAAAAATATTATGGGCGTTAAACTACAAAGTGGAGCTTTCACCCAATGAAGCGATCGTAAAATTGTATTCATTGTTCGTTATAACCTCGTCGCCAGTTCCATGGGGTGACTATAAGGAGTCAAAACACTATTTGTTAAGTTCCACTCTAAATGCTGCGGAATCTATTGAATCATCCACAATTGCATCTTCACCGGAAGATCGTCGATAGAACGGAAGTTCCACGACAAAATTCCACGCAGCCCATCCAAGTGGTCCTCGATAAGATCACTTGGCACGGCCTGCTAAATACCACCGCGACGACAAGCAACTTTACGATCGCGGATAGAATTTTTGCCAAACGGATTTTTATAACATCAGCAGAAACTCGCGGGAATTGGGGGAACGAAACAAAAGCTGTTCCCATTCCTCAGAGAGTTAACCTAATGAAATTGGGACGAACGAAATGAAAAGCTGGCAAACGTTCAGCGGCATATGCGGCTCACGTGACAGAAAATTCGTTTCGTGTTCCACCATTAACCGAACAACGAGCTGCTTTTAGTTAACGTTCAAACGAAACCAACAACGAAATAACACGTTCCAAACAGAAGACCGTTAAACCATCGTTACCTAACGAATATGTAGAGTGTATGGTCAAACAATGCGGATGATTCTAGTGCAAAAATAGTTGAATAAATCCGTGGAATCAAATTTGATGGCAAGAAGTGATTGTTTCCGTTTTCGACATAACCGATTTAGAGGATAGATAATCTAACATAATTCTTTTGTATTTGTAATAAACACTGACGATATCGTGACATTATTTGTTATCTATCAATCTTAATTTATCAAAAGAAATAATATAAAATCACTGTCAAGATTTATAAATATTTCTATAAGTAGAAATCGTCAGTAATATCCAGACAGACAGACTACACTGGGTAGGGAGAACGTGGAACCTGTAAACGCATACTTTATTGCCCCTCCGCTTTTGTTCCGGCTTTTCTTCCGGCAAAAAACGAATTTACGAGGGTCTGAAGCATTTCTTCCTATAAGATTATTGTTCCGGCGCGAACCCGAGTTCGAGACGATAATCGAGAGGAGTCTTTAGATGATATTTAAGGATACATGTATAATAGAGGCGCAAGAATAGAATTAGGTTACAACGGGCTGGAGGACTACTGGGTCACACAAGACCCGATGACTATAACCAAATGAATACCAATGCACACCATTGATCGATGTATTAAGTATTTGAAGCGTGTACTTCTTGATTCAACGAATGACGGAACCAGTTTCTCTCTTGTACGTGAACTTCAATTTCACTTTCATGGCCCGAATGGGCGAGAAGTGGATGGACGATGGCGTGAATCGACCCTCGTGTTTAGCATTACACGCTACCCAGTGTTATCGATCATCCCGGTGAAGCTATCGCAAGGCCAACTAGTCCATATTGCTGAATGAAAGAAACGAAACGTATCGACTTTCCATGTGTATACATACACGAAACGTATACCGGGTGTGTCGTTGGTACACGAGTCCAATTGGGTCCGTTGACGCATCGGAGAGGAGAGCGCAGCGAAGACGTTGCAGAGAACTGGCCGTGGTTAGGTCAACGTAATCGATTCATTATGCAACAAGTAGTCGAACTTAAATGCGACATGGACAAGGCATTCGCGCGAAAATACCATAAACGCAAGGCGAAGAAAAACTTAAAATAAATTAAAAGATTGTAGCAGAATTTTTACAAAGTAGACTTTCTTTTCGAGAAAACAGCTTTAAAAATTTGTTAGGTAAGCATGTATGTCGAATAAATTTTCAAATTGAATTTTTTTTACGGATATCCAACCGCAAACGAAAAATATTCTTCTGTATTTTCGAATTGCTTTTTCAAAAAGAACCTCCCTTTGCGGTTGTACTACCAGCTTGCTCTCCTCTCAGACACGTGACCGGTGTCTGATGTCGTATTATAAACGATGTAAGATGAACAAAATTGTTCTACAGTTTTTACCAAGCTGCCCTTGTGTAATCATTGTACAAATTAAGGACACCGCGGGAACGGCCGCAAGATTCTGATCCGTGTCAAATGAAATTGTCTTTAATTCGCGTTATCGTATTTATTGACATTAAATCCTTAAACTTAATTCTTCGGGACCCTATCAATGAACATTCCAATGTCAATTATACACTTTGTACTAGTTAAAAAATAGGCAATTGAAGGGAAAATTGTTATGCACTAATTTGCAGAAAAAATAATATTTCCGTGATTCAGAAGCGCGTTAACTGTAGACATAAATTATTCAGAGATCGTTGTATTATGCATGACCCGATGGAGAATACAATGATGTGTAAACTTCATTAATGATTTATTCTCGTTCTATTTGGTGCAGTGAAGGGACAACGCTGAATGATAACACGAATATCTTTGTATACTAATTCCAGTACTGATCCACTACATATACATCAAACATTCTTAAAATCAACAATAAAAAAAACCATACTTCGTATCTCGAGTACAAAAAATATCCCTCACCATTGAAATAAGTACACACGAGTCTCGCAAAACCCAAACTGAATAATACCATGTTTCTTGAATTCTTCGATTCCAGTATTTCACCTTTTGTAATATTAAACGAATATTTTAAATTCATTTTCTTACATTTATTTGTTCGTATTACTCAAATCAATCATAAAACGGCAATGTCTACACGTAATTATTGATCTTCATCACTTTTTATTTCACGGAGTTGATAAGTCTGGTTTCTGTGAGACTCATGCATATAAACATCATGTTGTCCTCATTAGGTATTTTTGTTATGTACATGTCCTGTTCATTTCAAACACTGACCATACAACGTATAACCTCTAATATTTCGTGTACACGTTGGTCGGGGATCAGGGGAACGAGATATTTGCGAACAACAATATGTACTTACAAGTACCGAACCGTGTGTCCGTATGAACTATACTGCCACATTCATGTTGCCAGCTTGTCAGCATTTCACAGCGTCAGAAAATAAATCCAAGTAAGCCCGAAGGAAGCTGCACAACATGCGCTCGCACACAAAACTTAACCACTAGTACACACTCGAGCTGCACCCGGGTAAACTGGTTTCAAATGAAAATGTACAGTATCACGCTCGACGACGCAATAAGAGCATACGGTGAGCGTGACGACGATCCAGGGATCGCCGGCGCGCGGATCACGCAGAACCTTGTCGCGCGCTTTTACATTCGACCTTTATTTAACTCTCTATTTCTTTTTGAAACGCTTCAAGGACCTGCGCGACTCGATAACCTGCCAACGATACGCAAAGGGGACGCAAGCAGCCACGTGTGCGACACCATCGAAGACTATGTTGTCTATCATAGGCGCTACCTAGATTCCAATGACTGAATATAAAGCGCATAGGAATAGCGTTCCATGTGACGGAATCGGTTATTTATTATTAACCCCTCGGGCCATAGGTGCGAAACACAGCGACCCTACAACGACCGTCATGGCGCGATGCGCTCTGATTGATTTCCGTTTCTGCTATCAGATGTCGCCACCTACTGACACGATGGTTACCTGTAGCAACGTTTGGAAATTCGTGCAAGTACATACTGGGTACTCTGTATTATTATTATTATACATATAGTGCACCGGTACATACTATGCATTTGGTGTATGCGTTTACTTCAATTTAAATGTCAAATGTTATCACATACGCGAAACTTGTACGATATCGTAAATAATATTATTATAACAATATTATTTATAGCAATATAAATCAAGAAACACAAAAAATAATGTATTATGACTATATTAATATGAATAACTGCATTGTATCATTATTATCCTTTGAGAATAATATGTTTATATTAAAAAAAATAACAATGTTTTTGTTTTAATAAATAGTTTGTTTCATTAAAGTAGTAGGTAGAGAAGCTTTTTTTTCGTATGAATAACTGTAAAATAGCGGAATCCCTACGGAGGATATAGTTAACGCATGTCTTGTTTTACAACGAAACAACATGTCAGTATTTAAAAATGGCCGTAGACAACAGTAACTAGAAGTGATTTTAATTGAATTGCAACCAATATATTCTTGTAATCGTCACGTGAAATGCGTCAATGGCCTAAGTTATTTATAGTAAACCACTCTTTTTATTAGACTGCCAAGTATTTTGACGCAAGAACCTCGTGAATACCGATTCATACTTTTAATGTTACATCTCGATCATAACATTCACCGAGATCAGAACTGATTCAGTTACTTAATATTTGCGCGGTATGCATCTTCTCGCGTGATCGGCTCCGGAATCTTTGCAGGTAAATGACACTATTTTTTTTAAATGCGTAACAATCAACTATTAAAATGATATCGCGATAACAATTGTGCAGCAAGGTTAACTGTGAAAAACCAGTGAACAAAGAGAGATACTTCTTCAACAGTGTAAGAATACCTCAAAGAGAGAACATGTCATCTGGTATGAACGATGGCCCACGAAACACAGGCACACTTCCAAAAAGCAATAGGAGAAATGATAGAAATAGGGAACGGTCAGCTGCTAATCAGTTTGCAAATCATTCTGCTTATCATGGACATGCACAACACTCTAACAATTTGGTAAACCAACTAAAAAATAAGTATACTACTTCTACTCCTTACTGCAAGTTATTTATTGTTTAATATTGCAATCTATTTAATAATGATATATGTCTATGTGTTAACATATTTATAAATTAATTAAATAAATAAATAGTATTGCATCTTATAATAGATACATTGAAATTATTTTATTGAAACTTAATTTGTATATTCTTACTTTAAAATACTAAAAATATTGTATATTTTATTAACGATGTTAGAAAACAAAAATTAACATCTTTCTAAATTTGATGTAATTTGAACTTCCTAAATGAAAACTTCATGCAGCATCTGTATATAGTAGTTTAAAAGATAATCTATTAATAGATAGCTGAATAGTGGGGAAGTTCTCTCTAAGAATACATATCCAGATACAATTCTACCTCGGGGCAGTAGAGTTACAGTATTTCACTCACCATTTCTAGAAATCATTTCTCTGTGCACCTAATCAGTTTTTTTTTATTTAATAATTACATGGAATAGTACCAACTTGACTGGAAACCAGTTAGTGAAAGGAAACATTTAAGGATAACAAAGAATAGTAATACAAGATCAATTCCTTCAATATCATCAACACCTTATCAAGATATACCTGAATTTGGTACATATTTAAATACTTATTCCTTTGTGTTTTCACAATTTAAGCAATTAATATTTTTTTAATGTTATGATAGCATCATATACCTGTGGACGACCATACAATTACAGTACAGAGGAATTTACACATTGGCAAAAAATGGTTCCCCCTACAGATTCTCAAACCCAGTCACCTCCACGATTCGAAGGAAGAAAACCTTCTAATGTTGATAGAATGGTAAAGTATAATTTCATATAAATAGTTGATGTAAATAAAGATATGAATATAACTTCTTCTTTACGCAACTATTGCAGCCTGATAGAAGTCAAGTGGAATCTCGCTTAAATGAAATTAGAGACTGCATCAGGGCTACATCAACATTGATGGATTCCCTTGTTCAGTCTAATGATCCAGTAAGTACATATAAAGTTATTAATAATATGAAACTTCGTTTACCTTTAGATGTTGCATTCGTTTCATACTTATATCTACTTATATCTACTTATATCATACTTATATCTATACTATTATCTTCTAGAGAGCACAGTCTCAGAATGAGAAATTGGGTACAATGTTGGAGGATCTGTACGACAGTGAAAGAAAATTATCCAGACTGTTGGAACAATATGAAAATCATGGGATGTTTTGCGAGGTTATTACAAATGTTACATATATTTAGCTGAGTAGTGTTCACTGGAAAATTCTATAATTCGTCATTTATTTTTCTTCTAGAATGGTGAAAATGGCGATGAAACCGATGAATTAAGTAGAGAAATGCAATTACGCAAAGTAGAAGAATTACAGAGGAAACTTACACACCTGAAGAAACATCACGCTAGTGTCCTTGGAATGCAAGTACGTGTTACAGAAAAATTAAATGAGGCACGGCAGGCTCAACAAGTGCTTTTACAACACGATAATCAAACTGAAGTTACATTAACCCAATCATTACCTGTGAATATCGACCAGCTTGAATCTGCAACAGCTAAATTGGCTCAACTTCAGACAAAGAAAAGACACATGGACCACATTATTGCAGAATTACAAGCTATAGAAATGTCTGATAGGGGTAGTTGTGTTAGTACACCATTTTCTGTAGTAATTTATTACAATTAGAAATAGAATGTATTATTATTTAACATATGTGTGTTTTAGAGCTCCGAAGGTTCAAGAAATTGTGTAAGGGATAAGGCTGCTGAACTAGAAGCCATGAAAGCACAACTTGCCCATTTAACAGCGTTAATGGATGAAGTTACAAGAGCTCGTGATTCTGTTGACTCAAATTCTGATGCTGAGCCGGAGGTAGACTTAAATGGTGATATTGCAGCTGCTGTAAACTCTAATGAAGAAGAAAATGGAACAAATATGTCTTTTGAACATCAGAGTGGTACTGATGAGAAAAGTGATGAAAAATTTAGAAATACAAAAGTTAGACCAACAGTAGAGGAAATTCAAGTAACATCGTGAACATTTAAATATATACTTCGTTATAAATTGTAAATTACATTCATGTATTATTTTACAGGCTTTCACACAAGAGTTGCGAGAACAATCTGAACAGTTACAAATTGCTAGGGCAGAATTACAACGATTGAAACGACCACCGGCATCAACATCAACTACTCATTCTAACTCTACTTCTACCTTCCCGACATCAACTCCTCCTCCGTCACTTACGACATCAATCAGTTCTGATAAAAAACTAGACAATAACAGTAATCCAGAAGCTCAGCCAATTCAGGGAAAAGTACGTCAAATGGAAGACCGTGTACGAAAGGTATCTTCTTTAAATTGTTTTCATCCATGCAAGATGAATTAAGACTAGATATTTACATAATTTCTATTCTATGGGAAAATAGGATTCATCACATTCATCTAGCGTTAATCGTGAAATGGGGGAACCAACTGATTTAAAGAGTCATAGAAGTTCCAGTTCTCATGTTAGTCACACAAGTACGCCTGCTAACGTTTGGCCTCCTACGACTGCAATAGGTAAAGTATATTATACTATATTTATATCATAAACTTCAAACTTTCACTTTCTGTGATGTAGGAGGATCGAACGATCAAAGTGTAGACGGCGTATCAACAGAAAATTTAATGGACATAGGTGCTCAAACAACAGCGATTGAAAACGGATTCAATGGAAATTGGTGGACATATCCACCGCCTCCATTAAATGAAGTACAACACGGTAAGATATATATATAGGTAGATGGAAAAATTGGGGACATTTACATGACAGTGAAAAGATACCAAATTGCATACAATTGTTTTAGGTTCATCTGAATATTATCGACAGTTAGTGTTAGGATCTCAAGCTCAACAGCTTCAAATGATGGGTACTACGATACAACAATGTTGTCAATTATTGTGGTCTCAGCAACGTGAATTACAAGCCATGCGCACAGCCATTACGCAGTTACAAGCACAACTGAGACAAACTCACTTACAACAGCGAAGTAACAACAGTGAAAATAACGACGAATATTCAAATTTAAGTCGTAACATTCATCATCTCAGTGAAACCTTAGATTCCACATTACCACCAAGTTCGTCTCTGCCAAATTTGGTATCGTTACCAAACTCTTCTCCTGCATTATCTCATAATGCTGCACCGACTTCTGTCAACTCTCAACAACAACAGCAACAACAATTGAATAATCAAGTACCACCTGGGAATAGAGCAAACAACTATTGGGATAATTTCAGAAGGTAATGGAACATCCATGTACGGTTAATTAATGGAAATTTAATTATCGTCCTAGTGCCGTGAAATTGTAATCTATATTGATACAAGAGTATCATATACCAAACTGGAATTTTTCAATCATGTAATCATTCGATGTAAGATTTGTTTTCTGATTTATGCAATTGAGTTTTAACCTGTTATTTTTCTTTTCAATTGGATATTATTAAAACGAAATATGATCTTTTTTATAAGTTTAGGTATTTTATAATCAGTAGATCGTGCACATCCATCTTCCATCTTTGTGTAAACCTAATGTACCATTACATAAAGTAATAAACTTCACGGTCTATCTGTGCACTTTTTGTCTTGTACTTCTTAGTTGTTACTACCCTCGTTTAAACCATATCACACGTAAATCACTGCTGATTTTGATTCTATAGTTCAATGGTTAGTGAATATGAAACTAAATGAGGATAGTATGTTGGTACGTAAACTATGGGTATGTAATGTAAAGTGTTCAAGAATTACACGCATTTGATATATTTTGATTTTGACTAACAGTATGTGCTCAAGTGCTCATGTGCAGTTTTGTCTTTCTTTTGTAATTCTTAACAGAACTTGTAGTTTCATTTTCTATGTTCCTAATTTCATTCCCTTAAGCATGGTATGAGTCTATTGGCACTGGTTATACATTGAAACTAATATTTGTTGTTTCTGAAAATTTACAGTTATTCCAGACAAAACTTACTCTCGGGAAGTGCGAAAACTGTGACAGATACTACCTCGGGAGCTATTGCAAACGCAACATCCTCTGGAAATACTATGTCAACTGTTAATACCTCTCTTATGTATGTAATTTAGGTACATTATTCAGTAAGGCTATCTAATTTTATTTTGATTTTCACACATTATGAATATCATTGAAGGAAGGACAAACGTAATCGGGAACAAGGAGCTGATAATTTACCTTTGCCTTCATTAAACGTAGCAGAAGCACAATATTCTTTGAATTTGCAACTGCCATCCAATTTGCAACAACAAGAGAGGGAAAATACCGTGACACGTAGCAATATTTTAACAAATGAGGTATCTCAACAACAGGTTGATAATTTTTGGGAGGAAGCACATTCATCGTTTCGACTACCACCTGTAATAAATGATGAACACCCCCTTCAAAACTTAAGGTTTGATCTTGTTGCAAACTTATTTCTTAATTGCCATATTTCCAAATAACCATTGTACAGATATATATTTACTTTCATATTTGTTACGTAGTCCGGAAATGAGAGAAGTTCTAAGTTCACTAATTTTAGTGAATAAGAGACAGCCCGATTATTTAGTCACTGTATTAAGAGAAATTAAAAACATAAGCGAAAATCATAGACTACGACCGCGTTTATTGAGATCGCTGCGTACTTTGCAGGATATGCAACCTCGGAGCAATCCATTGGTTCGTATATTTTTTTTTAATATGTATATTAATGTATTATACATATTCGTAATACTTTTCCAGAATGAAGTAACTGATCAAACTGCTAGTGAAAGTTGTCAATCTAGCGATGAAGATTCTGAAATAGATTCAGTGTTGGATATTGGTACAGAAAATCATTCGTCTATTGCAGAATTTATTATACCAGGAACTTCCATGTATCCTACTGCACACATGCCACTGATAGATCATTTGGACATGCCGGTAAGTTCTCTTTAACTTATGTTAGATAGGTAGGAAAGGCATCATCATCATTTCATACATCATACATTTTCTATAGGAAGCATCCACACAGGATTCTGCATGTGCTCTGCCTTTGATATCGGCCATTAAACCTGGTTATAATGAAGATCTAGCAGAAGCAGATCAATCAAGACCTGAATCTTCCAGTAATCAACAGGTATGTCTAATATATTTGGGTAAATAAAATGCAACAGTATAACGAAAATATGAAATACAATCTAAATATTTTTTTTGTAGCCTTCTATTAATGATGAAGAAAATGATGAAGGCCAAGACGAGGCAGCTGGACCATTACTCCCTTCTCAAGCAATATTTTACGATGAAGTTAACACAGAATAATTTGACTCTGCTTTTATATTAGATAAGATTCCAAGTTTCTATTTCTTAAGTATTATGTTTTTCTTTACTTTAATACTTTTTAAAGTATCAATATATTTCTTGTAAGCATCAAAGATGCGACAAGAAACTTTTTTACTTGTAACATGTACTATTTAGCTTATAATAAACATTGTAACTTAGAAAAGTAAGTATTTATTTCCAACTTCATGATACAGTGTAATGACATACTTATGAGTAATGAATATACACTTTTCGATGCAAATACAAAAAATATAAATGTTAGAAATGATTGTCAAGTATCCTACTTAAAATTCCGTCTCTGTGCAGTCACTATCAAGCATTTGCAAACGATGAAGGTGATATATGGAGCACCCATGTGTTTCAAATAAAATTGTCTCATACTCGTCATTGTTTTCAAATGATTTAAACCCACTGCTTGAGACCAAATATTTATTATTTGTATTACTTAAGAGATTATGATTACCTGCTGCCAAACAGCAGCTCTTGTTTGTGATACTGGCTTGCTCCAGGTCTTTGTCATTGGTTGTATTTACAAGCAATAGTTCCGGCTCATAAGACACCTTGGCCAATCCATAGTCCTTTGTACTTCTTGTGCCTTGGTGTACGTGGTTGTTACCACTGCCTCTGAAAGGAAACCCATAACTTATCGACTAATTTAGTTGGACATATCCTATGCCAGCCATTTTGTCAGCAAATTATGTCCTTACCATCAAAAAAAGACCAAACTTACTAAGTGTCATTACTTTATGAAAAAATATTAGCACCTGTGTTTATCCATTGCATACCATTAGCCATGGTACAGAAGATGACAGGATGCATTAAGCTTCAAAATAAATTTAATGCCAGGATCGGATGAAAATCTCTGTGGTCACATGTAAATATATAACCTTGTCCCCGTGGGAAGGAAAATCGAATATTCATACATTTGTAATATCAATTAATTAAGCTATTATAAGCAATATCGAATGATAGCAAAGCTTTTATTATTTATTTAGTTTACTGAATAATAATCTACATTTGCATTTATTTTCTAATATCTAATATTTCTTTCTAATATGCATTTCTTCGCGATCAAAAATTTTCCCGCTCAAATGTAGATAGAAGAAGACACAACGACCTCTAATAAGATCTACCTGAATTACGTACGAATACGAAACGACGAGGTCGAACTTTTGTGGAAACGATCATGCGAATAAAAGAATCAGACGTTTTTATCTCTCACTTGTATAAAGGGATTCAAACGAATGAAATTATGAATTCTCTCCTACCTTCACGAAATTTTTTCAGCTCGCAGACAGGACTGTGATCACCATTGGATCGCTTCCGGTTTCTCCGTCGAAGCGTGTCCGCGTCGTCGTGGCTCGCCTGCTGTTGACACTGCCGTTGCTGATCATTTACTCTCAACCGATTCTGCGCCGACGCTTCTAGAATCACGGAATCGTTATTCAAATAGCAAGATGCCATAGAATAATCGCATCCGTCATCGTCGGTTTCCATAGCTGTGCCATAGGTACAGCTATTGTACACCGGCATTTTACTAACTTCCTCGTGCTCTAACACGGGATTCAGTTGACATTCTTTTTTATAAGTCGGCACGTAACCATAATATATGTTCGACGACATGAACGATGGAACGACGGTTCTCGTGTTATACATAGCACCACTCGCTACAGCCATATTTAACCTTTTTTTTACAACCGATTTTCGATACTACACTAGAGAAGTACGAAGATACGTTACTACCTATCGTTCGATTATATACGTTAGAGTGAATGATAAAAAGAAAAAACAGAAAGCACCATAAACGAACACGACGTTGACACTTCCCGAGAAGAACGGCGAATGTAGTTCGGGTTCATAGCCGAGTACACTCGAGCTGTGAATCGGCAACGTTCGGCCGTCCTCGCTCGATTTAGTCCGTTTCTTCAAATCCCCACCAACTCACGTTTCCAACAATCGACCCGCTCATGGAAATTTGTTGCACTTCTGTTAGTATTTGGCTCAAACGTTTAAAAGTATTTTCAGGGTATGATCCTACTTTAACCGTGATTATGAAATAGGTAAAATAGTATTGAGGCCTCTGTGTGCAGTTTACAGTTGCTAAAGACGCCGTGTTCCTATTGGCTAATGCAGTTGCGTAACGGATAGAATTGAAAGCACTTTATTAGCATGAATCGAGTATATCGTTGTGTATACGCGTTACTGAAATAGCTAACTTTTCATTGATATCTGAAAAACATTCCTGGAAGAACTGTGTAGGGTTTATTTTAAGAAATTTATTGTTTCTCGAACTTTTTCTAAAGAATATACTTAGTTCGAATGAATCATGCCGCTCGAAGAGAATGTCATAAGGGGGAGGCTTCACCCACTTGGCACACTCCTCGATTATACAGTTGGTGAAACGGTTGATTACCTCACCTGTCTATACTTTAGAATATAAAGTTTGGGTTTTAGAATTACAGTGAACTTGGGACACAGTTGGACACAGTACTCTTTAACTCTCGTAATAGTGATAGTTCCAGCGACTACAAAGACGACGGCATCTGAGTCCTCTCAGACCTGTAGCACCTTCACTTGCATAAATACTTAACACCAAATACATATATATTTGTTGTGATTTAATTGCCACTCTCAGGTCTGGCTGGGTTTAGTTTAGCCTATTTCTATTTACCAAGAAACAGTTTTCAAGAGAGACCTTGCCTCCATTTGTTGATATTAATGTGTACGTTTAAATAAAGTATATACTACACGAAAATGATAAAATATACAATAACTAAAGATACATATGTGCAGGTTATTGCATTTAACAATTGAGCAATACATTTTATGCAACAACTAGCTGCTATGGGGTCAGGGAGACGTGCTTCCAGGGTTAAGCCTACCCGTTTATCGTTAAGACAATTAATTTCAAATATCTTTTCATCTCTAAGAGGTATTTTGTTAAGAAAATAATTGTTAATATTAAATTCCAAAACACAAATGTGAAATTCATTTGCTGGTCTTGTACGTGTAGCTAGGTCCGAACAGACCCAACACTGTCCAGCAGATTCATCGTTTGATGAGGGTTATAATTTTAGCGAAGCATATAATTACAGACGAGGTTTATGAACAGACCTGTCAATCAATTGTTTCTGTGGGGTCTTAGAACTCCATTATCATTATCACAGACGAGATAGAAAATAGACTTATCATCTTATGGGACTTTGTGTCTCATGTTCTAAAATACCGATCGTGCAAACAGTCAGAGATTTTTTGCTGCCCTCTACGTTATGAGAACGGTGAATTCGTGAATTACTGTAGAAGCCCAATAATTGAATGTCCGTTAATTGATCACTAGGAACGCCCCTCGCTCCAACGTATCCCTCGACTAGTTGAAAATTTGAACAGAAATATAGCCACATTCCTTAACATTTCCTCCACAAAATACGAATCTTCGAGCATAGGTCTTCTTTTTATGCACCGATACTTTATTGCGATTCCCAGTACACGTGTTCCACTATTTCATGGAACTTGCAAATACGAATGATAGCTTTGTGTCTCGCGACACTGGTTCCGGGATTGAAACGTGCTGACGCGTCTCGTGTTATTGCGCTAACTGCTACACATGCCTATCCAGGAAGGCACCACCACGTTTTCTTCTCTATCATAAACATACCGGTGTGGTTTTCGTTCTTTCTACTCTGTATTAGAATCTACCGACGATACTTATTTGCACACATTAATGATTTGAATATTATTTTTTTTATTAGCTGACCATTATTTATAGGCCATTGCGAATTTTCTTGTGTATTTCTATTTATGTTATTCTAGTTATGTTATTATGTTATTTAACTTTTTTTATATTCAGCTACTTCATTCTATATTCATAAGTGATATCTGACTAATGTATTGAAATGAGTATACTGAAGTGACTACTATAAAATTATTGTATACATTATCTCCAAATTACTGCAATTTCTAGTGAAATGAATAACGTATCACCACGATATATACTCAATTAATAAAGAAATAACAATTGTTTAAATAATGAAAAATTACATTACCCCCCCCCCCCCTCTG